GGATCACAGCCTTTGTCAGCGATGATTTTGGGGCTTCGACTTTCTTTGCAGACATTCTATAGATCTGTAGTTCAGATGCAGTGATGCAAACCCCTGAAACATTGTTTCCTGTTTTAATACGTCTTGTTCTCTGACAGCCTGAGAAGAGCGGGGGTGGGGGGGCGCTGTGATGAACCAATATGAAAAAAACATGTTTGAATAAAGACAGAATAAAGTTCTGCTGCCTGGAATCCTCTCATTCCTCATCCTTGGTTTGAAACCTGCAGCTTTCAGCAGATCTTCACTCATGACCTGCAGAAAGCTGCTTGAGGAAAGGTGGAGGAGATGAGAGGAACATGCAGAGAACATGGCTGACCCTGCAGCTTCAGGGACTAGAAGGATGGATGTTGATCCATCAGGGGTTAAAGCTTTGATCTGAGCTCCTCCAGCTCTTCTCAGCACAGACATTTTACATAGAGCTGCTCCTCATCACACTCTGGGCCGCCAGGTGTGCAGCTCGCTGATTGGTCGGCCTTCCCTCGCTCGCGGCCCCACGCCTCCTGCCATTGGCTCATCCGGGCGTCACTCGCCGTCCTGACCCCGCCCCCGAGTATAGAAGTATCCCCGCGAGCTGACCGGCTCCGTCATCCAGACGGTGGCTGCGCAGCGCAGCATCCAGACGGCGCGTCTCTGCTGCGACAGGCGGACAGAAATGAGCAGAACCCCGCAGAGCGGAGCCAGAGACCATGGATCCCTGTAGAACCCTGACGGTGCTGCTGTGGATTTTATTCCTGAAGCGGATCCAAGACTGCCGAGGAGAGGAAGGTAGGCTGAGGCTCCTCAGCGCGCAGCTCGGAGCGGAGTTTGCCTCCGATCCGGTGCTGCTGCTTCTGGGTTCTGATGGACTCGGTTCCGTCAGGTTCTGGAGGTTCTGGTCCATGTCTGTAGAAATAAACCAGACCTTCTGATGCTGACAGGCTGAAGGCTCAGAGGAACAGGAAGTCTTCTTCTGTTCTGGACTTAGTTTCTCTGAGGTCCTGATGCTGAGGATGCGGAGCAGCAGATCTCTGCTTCTGGCTCCATCAATTATTGCTGATCTGCTCGGAGATGTGAGGAACCTGGAGGTTCTGCAGCCAGATGCTGATCAGTGAGGCAGGCTGCTGTGATGAAGGGGAGGCTGGTTGGCTCAGGGTTGGACCAGAGTGGATTCTACTCACATGTTCTCCTTCCAGCCTGATGGTTGCTGCGGCTCAGACTCAGGTTCCTCTCAGGCAGGGGAACCGGTGATATCTGCAGCTCCAGAAGGTGGCTGCAGCTCCAGAAGGTGGCTGCAGCTCCAGAAGGTGGCTGCAGCTCCAGAAGGTGGCTGCAGCTCCAGAAGGTGGCTGCAGCTCCAGAAGGTGGCTGCAGCTCCAGAAGGTGGCTGCAGCTCCAGAAGGTGGCTGCAGCTCCAGAAGGTGGCTGCAGCTCCAGAAGGTGGCTGCAGCTCCAGAAGGTGGCTGCAGCTCCAGAAGGTGGCTGCAGCTCCAGAAGGTGGCTGCAGCTCCTGGACTCCTTGATCTTTCAGACTTAGATGCTATCGGGTCTTTAGTTCATGTTGTGACAGAGAGGAAGTTCTTCCTCCATCTTCTGGTTTTTTGTGATTAATGAAGCTCCAGATAAACTGGATGGTGACCTGATGCCCAATCAGACGCTAGAAGATCCTTTTTTCTCCTCCTTCCTGTTTTCTTTGTTCCATCTCTTCATCTTCCTCCTCTTCCTCCTCAGAGCTGACTTAGCACACATCTTTCTGGGTGGAGGGTGTCTACCTTACCTCCTCCACCCTCTCTCTCCTCATTGCCTGCTCCTCAGCTCTAACACACCTTGACATCTCATCGGGATCTCATTTACTCCCGCGCCTCCCCCTCCCTCAGCCCCTCCCCTGCAGGCTGAGGGGTCACAGAACCTGTTTTTTTATTTTCTTCATTCCATTACATCCTCATCCTCACCTGCAGCTCAGGCTCATAGCAGCTACACAATATTGGGGGGGATGGGGTGTACGGGCTCAGTATAATGTTATTTAAATTTTGAAGAACTGTTTCTTGGGAATTTTACCGGGAATCAGAGAAATATTTTTTTTTATTTGAATCCTGAGCGAAGCGCCGTCGGTCCTCAGGTAGCAGGTTTCCTGCTCAGACTCTGAGATGTTTGCAGCTTGGAGTTCGTCTCGTTCTTTAAATATGTTTGAAATCTGTGGACTTTATTTTCTGATTGATTTCAGTTTGTCTGCATCGATCCTCAGGCGAAGTCAGAGGAGGTTTACTTGAACAAGGTCTTCAAACAGAAGGTCTTAATGCCTGGAGGTCCCATATCTACTAACCATAAACATTATAAACATTTTAAGCACATTAGACACAGAGAAGGTCCCAAAGCAACTGGGAGGGGCTTCTGTGGATAAAGTCCAGATTTATTATTGTTGTTCTATGTTGCTGGATCCAAAGAATATCCAGAAACATGAATGAAATGAGAACCTTTAATGTTTACTGAGAACTCAGATGATTCTACCTCTAAGGCTGTCCACCCTATGGGTGCCTAGGAGGGACAATCCAGCCTCTGAAAGAAGACAAACAGGTTTTATCTCTGAGCAATGCTCTTCATGGTGGATCAGGGCCGGTCTCAGCTTATTATTTTGCTTTTACTAACCAGGGATTCTGATGAGTCTTTTTAAAGTTTGTTCAAACTTTGGTTCTGATTTATAAAGATCTTAAGATGCAAACAGAAGTGGACAAAAAGACTGCATTTAATATTTGAGTGGAGTTAACCAGCCAGCTGTCTGCCTGCTGCCTGAGAATCTCACAGGACTGTTTGATGTGTTGGACGAATGCTTCAGTCGTCTGGCTTAGATCACATGTTCATGACCTCACAGACCTGAGTGATTTGTGGACGTGGCAAACAAAGCGCTGCAGCATTCACCTGTCAAGGCCACAGAGACTCCATCACTTTGGGCAGCGATAAGCGTGAGAGAGAGAGGCAGCAGAAGGTCAAAGGAAAAGGGGTGAGGAAATGAAGGGAGGGAGATGTCCTCCAGGAAAAACGTGTCTCAGGAGCAGAAAGGATTAGAGCAGAACAAAGACTTCCCCTCCTCCTCCTGTTGCTGAACCAGAGCAAAGAAATATTCCCCTCTATTCACTCTGCTTCCACCTGATGAGGCTCAGAGGACTTCATGATATATCGCAGAGTATACAGTGGTATTGCAATATCATGATAATATTGTATTATTACCCAAGTATTGTGAAAACATATCGTCAAACAATGCCTCATTAAATGCCTCATTAGATGCCTCACTGAATGCCTCATCAGATGCCTCACTGAATGCCTCATCAGATGCCTCACTGAATGCCTCATCAGATACCTCACTGTATGCCTCATTAGATGCCTCACTCTATGCCTCATCAGATGCCTCACTATGTGCCTCATCAGATACCTCACTGTATGCCTCATCAGATGCCTCACTGAATGCCTCATCAGATGCCTCACTGTATGCCTCATTAGATGCCTCACTCTATGCCTCATTAGATGCCTCACTATGTGCCTCATCAGATACCTCACTG